TCCCTCCTTCCACTATGCACTATTGCTCGGGCCCCTGTTAAGTAGATGCCAGGCTGCTAGGCACTGAGAAATGATGGAATAAAGCAATTCCTACTTTCAGGCAAGCTTCCACACTCAAGGCAGGAGTGTGTATTTCGTGTGTTGATCCTATGCGAAATGTCCTTTGGAAGGAACCACCTGAGTGTGTTTTATGTGTGTGTTGGGGAGAGAGGGCTGGGAATGAACTCATCTTCCCGACTGCAAATGATGCTCGGTTTGATCCCACAGGCAAAGCAAGCCTAACTGGAACAACATTAACTGTTATTTTTGAGAGGTTTTTCACTATAGGGCGCGAACGTTCGCCAGACAGACAGAGACAGAGAGACAGAAAGCGAGAAATCACCCCCCCCAGGGGGGATGGTCACGCCGCAATCCCTTCTCCTTCATTCTCCTCTAGGCGTCTTGGGCACGAATGCACACGCGCCCCGCGTGAGGTTTAAGCCACTGGGTCTGGGACGCGAACTGTGGTGGACTATGTGGGAGTCCAGCGACATAGCCATTACCCTAACTGCTGGTCCAAACACAAACTGTTATTAAAATATCGCGTTTGTTTTCATGGTTTGAAGCTTCGGAGTCATTCTACTGAAGTCAGTCCAGTTGAAGTGTACCTCACAACCCTAAGGACCTAGACGTGTGAACTTGAACACAGAGAGATCCAATTAAAAACTCTTATTGGAACTGTTACATGCATTACAATGCCTATTATTTATGAGCCAGTAAACAAATAAACCAAGGTACTTTAATACTGTTGCTATAAAGTGCAAAAATTAAGAACATAGACTCTGGAGCCAGATTGTTTATTTGAACACAGGACTCACTATTATTCATTTTGTGTCATCTCAGGCAAGTTATTTAAGCCCTTTTTGCTTCAGTTTTCCAAATATGTAAAATAGGGACAGTAGGTGTTCAGGAAGTATATCTTTTTTGCTATCATTTAGAAATAGCAAACAAAGGGCCAGCCCTGTAGCCTACTGGTGAAGGGAGCCAGATCTGACATGGCTGACCATGGTCAAATCCTGGCTGCGGCAACTTGAAAAACGTGCTGGGCATGTGTATGCCCCAAATCATGACAGAATAGAAAAATGGAGGAGTCTTTGTCTCTCTAGTGGGCATGTGTGCCCTTTGGTAACAACAAAAAAAAAGAGAGCGAGAAATAGCAGATTTTTTTGTTGTCTTTTTTTTTTTTTGCTATAGGGCATGCACACTCACTAGAGAGAGACAGGGAGAGAAAAAGTGAGAAATCTCCCCCCCTTCCAGGGTGGATGCCCACATGGCAATCCCTTCTTCTCCACTCTCAGGATTTTGGGCAGGCATGCACACACACACACACACCTGGTGTGATTTTTAGGCTGTCGGATCTGGGACTTGAACTGTGCTGTTGGCCATGTGGGACCCAGCAACCCTAACCTCCATGTCACCTGCTGGCCCACAGTTTTCAAATTAAAAAGCCTTCAGGTATTCAATATCTACCTCTGTTAATTTTACTTCCTGATAGTGAGAAATACAAATACACATTCCTGTTGATGATAAACATCCAGAAACAAATCTCAAGGAAGAATTTGTTAGGGATATTCTCGAGTCCCCATTTATCCTTGAACTCCCACTCCCACCTCTGGATTACATTATGCTGATGTCTCTTGATTCATATCTCTAATCCGGACTTTTCCTTTGTGATTCATTCTCATGTTTAGCTTCTTATCTATTTGCATGTCTCAAACTTAACATGTCTAAAATAGCAGATGGTCTTCTGTGGGCTCTAAACCTAGTTGCTCCCTACAGTTCCCCATCTCTCTAAGTGGCACCACCAGTCACCCTGTCACGAACCAGAACTACAGGAGCTGTGGTTCCCAAGTTTCCTCTCTCATTCAGACTATGAGTAAGTCATTTAAGACACTTTAAATGAATTCACTTCTGGCCATCTTTACTGCTGACTACTCCCCACCCACGTCACCCCAAGCCACTATCATCTCTGCACTTTGATGACAGTTTCCCAGCTGTACTCCCCACTTTCACACATATTCTCTCCCAGGTAGTTTTTCACAAATAGTTACCCTTTTAAAACTAAAATAGAATATGCACTTCTTGTCCTGAGACTTCAGGACCTCTTATTGCACTTGGGATGGAGTCAGAGTCATTTGCTGTGACTTGTGATCTGATCCCTGATTGTCCCTTCTATCTCATGACACTTTCTTTCACCACCATTTCCTCTTTGGGTCCCTTATATCTCATCTGCTGCCAGTTTAAGAAAAATGCAGCTCATTTCACCTTACGGCTTTTATGCTTGCTGTTCTCTGTTTCGAATAGTCTTTTAATTCTTACTCACTCCTGCT